AGGCCGATCCCCTGAGGGCACTGAGGTGAGACGGACACCGTGTAATGCGGTGCAAACCGCTGCACCCCAGAGGGGACTGCCCTCATACATCCTGAGCCAGTGGCGTCAGGACTTTTTCACCGAGGACCTCTTAGACTGAAGTACGGTCCGAAGATCCGGCTTAGCCTTAGAGGTCCCCGACCTCGAGCGTCACCTTGCCCTCGTGCCTCGACACGGGGGAGCACGCGAGGCCACGCTCTGTTTTTGCGCGCCCCTGTGTTCGGAGCTGGTACCCGGAGGGGGCTGCTCTCGCCCAGCAGCCCCTGGAGCTAGAGAGCGGCGAGGGAGAAACCGCTGGAACGCCGCCGCCTGCTTACGAGCCTCCTGGTGCCTGTCGATCCACGAGCGCAATCGCCGCTGCGCCTCGGCAGAAGCGGGACCCGCGCCGCGGGGAACGCTTGCGAAAGCACCCTCCGCAAAGAGTGCCTTTCGGGAGCGGAGAGCATGCATGGGAAGACACTCGCAATGCGGGCAGTCAGCGCTCTCAAGAGCTGACTCAGCATGCTCCGCTTCCAGGCAGACAACGCACAAACTGTGTGTGTCCGCACCCGTAATGAAACGCTGGCTGCCTTCACCCCTACTCAAATGATGTGACTTGTCATGTGCTTTAGACATAATTATCTTCTAGCCTTACGGGACAGACAACACCAAATATGACTCACAAACAGATATCAGACTGACACACACACAGAGCGCTTGCTGAACGACAAAAAGCTGACGCTGGTCTCACCGCACGTGCTTTTATAGCCTCCTGGTCATTACGTCACCCGCCGTGACGTCTCGCCCAGCTATTGGTCTGATTACACACGAGATTCAGAGCCCGTCACGCTGAACGACGTTCCCCCAGCGTTTTTCGACGCAGCTTGAGTTCCTGAAGAGGAACACAGAAGCTGCATCTGAAGAGGCCTTTAGATGCACATACACACTGTTTAATGCAAGACATGAATGCTTTAACCTGCAGTTACAAATTCACAAACAGGATATTTTAATCCTAAAAGGTTGAATACTGATATTTGAAATCATTAAAAAATATTTATATATCAATGTACTTTAAATGTGAAATTAAAACCGCCAGTAGGTGGCAGCAAGTCACTGTTAATAAGCGAGTCATTGCTATTAAACCGAATCATTCAAAGAGTTGATTCATTCAGGAATGAAACGCTGACATGTTGCTCAGAGATGCAAAACAGTGCCGTGGCTTCATTTGAAAGCATTTTTGTGGGCGAAATAGAGCAAAAAATAGGCAATATGGTGTCTAAAACGTAAGTCTCTTAATATTAACTTCTTGTTTATTGAACTGCTGTATAAAATCAATATCACATTTGTGATTTTTGCAACAAATGGCACTCTTCATGTGATATTGATCAACTATATGAAATTATATAAATATATACATTTTCTGCCCCCATATCTTGAATTTTGGGAGCATTCTAAATGCATTTTATTAGACTGAATCATGCAGTGAAAGAACACACTCTAAATGAGCATTCAGTCTAGCTAGTGTTTAAGCACTCATAACTCCTCTCATAATCAATGAAGCTGTCCATGCACGGTATGATAAATGAATCTCTAACTCACATCGTACGTACATCAGCACTTTGTTGCTTATGATGAGGGAATTCGCGAGTTTCAGTCTGAACAAAACTCTAGGGTTTCAGCGATGACAGATCTGAACGCCTCTGATTGGCTACTGCATTCCTAAGCTCAACAGAATCGTGTGTGATTGGTTATAATGAGCAACGCTATAAAAACGCATAAAAATAAAATATGATAATATATATAATATAATATATGCATTTAGCAGACACTAAAAGCAACTCTCAGTGCATTCTGGCTATACATTTTTTACCAGTATGTGTGTTCCCTGGGAATCGAACCCACAACCTTTTGCGCTGCTAACGCAATGCTCTAATCTCTCTATTGAAAAACCAGGGGGTCCCTTAATGCTTATGGGCCCCCCCCAATTTGAACACTGCCTTCATCACTAGTCCTTCACTATCTGCTACAACTCATCCAGTTTTGTCCACAGAACTCATTTCAAGCATTTAAGCACAAACGTGTAGGAGAAAATCGAAACCTGAGAAAGAAATGCAGTGAAGTGCATTTGAGAACTAAACAACAGGCTTCTGAAGAAACTCTACAAGAGCTGTAAAAAGCAGAAAAGCACTGAAAACTTCCCTCCAGCAACATGTTTCATTATTTACAGACACACAGCACTTCATTCCTCATTACAGCAGGCAGCTTCCCAATCAGTAAAACCATTAGAGTTCATTAAAACAAGACTCACATGTGTTAAAGTAATGCATAATACAAGCCCTTGCTGCAAACACAGGTACACCAGAGGAACACAGCTTGCAGAATTAAAAATGCATTAGGAGTTTTCACAGACGGAGAACTAGATACCTCATAAATCACGCTCATCATTCTTCTCAGTGATGAGCTCAATATCTCAGAAACAGATACTGTATTGCTTCTTCTTATCAAGATCATGCACATAAAAGTTATTTATTGCCATCGATGAAGAACCTTTAACATCCACATCAGATCTGTTCTTTTTATCTCATATTCAGACTTTTTTTTCATAGCAAATCTGAGAGAGAAAAAAAGTAATACAAAATAAAAAAGGTAATTGCAACTTTTTATCTTTAGGGTTTTTTTGCTGTCTCACAATCTGTACTTTCTGGAGTTTATATTTGCAATTCTGTGTTCATATCTCGCTACTCTAAGAAAAACAAATGTCTCAATTGTGAGATATAAACTTTGAATTTTGAGAATAAAAGTCTGAATGCATGGAGAGATTTAAAGTTGCTATTACCTTTTATATACACTGTGGCTTATATACTTATATATGCTGGCTATATACACTTATATACACTGTGGCTATATACACTTATATACACACGTTCAGAAGTTTAGGATCAGTATGATTTTTTAAAGAAGTTTCTTCTGCTCATCAAAGCTGCATTTATTTGATCAAAAATACAGAAAACGGTAATATTGTAAAATACTGCATTATATCAATTTTTTTTCTTTTAATTTTTTTAAAGTAATCAATACTTTTATTCAGCGAGGATGTGTTAAATTGATTTATAAAATGATGGTAAAGACGTATATTGTTAGAAAGGATTTCTATTTTAAATAAATGTTGTTCTTTTTAACTTTGTATTCATCAAAGACCCAGAAAAAAGTATCACAGATTCCAAAAAAAAAATAAAAATCAACATTGATAATAATCAGAAATGTTTCTCGAGCAGCAGATCAGCATATTATACTGATTTCTGAAGATCATGTGACACTGAAGACTGGAGTAATGATGCTGAAAATACAGCTGCGCATCACAGAAATACATTACAGTTTAACAGAGATTCACATAGAAAACAGCTGTTTTAAATTCTAATAATATTTCACAATTTTACTGCTTTTACTGTATTTTTGATCAAATAAATGCAGCCTTGATGAGCAGAAGAGACTTCTTTAAAACACATTAAAATCTGACTGATCCCAAACTTTTGCACACTAGTATATTTATCCTTCAGTGGAAACAATAAGTGTTTCTCTAGCATCAGACCCTATTTATTAGCCTATCTCTAAGACTATTGCACTATTCCAGTACTGTAGTGTTTCTTGCATGACTTCATTCCTTGGATTAATCACTTCAATACGGATAAAAACGTATAAATGTAAATGTACAAATAAATCTGCAGTATCTCAGTGATACTTCTCTGATTTGTGCTCTGAATACTGATGAACACAATAACATGACGGGCAAAAAACAATGCATCAATGATTGCACAATACAAATCGCTTATGAAACTTCTGGCAATAAAATATCATCAAACAGATCGATTTCAATTAAATCAATAGCTGACAGCAATAGAGGCCAGTGCTCACACTTGTTACATAAAGACATAAAGTATACACTTCTAAAACAATCAAATGTATTATAATAAAGGCAATAAGAAATGATAATAAAAAATAATTTTTCATGCAGTCATGATAACTGCATTACTTACATCAAGCAATTTCTACTCGATTGAATATGCTAAAATAAACTTTTAATGATTTCAAAGACTTTTCTAGGAAGATTTGAATGATTAACAATTTGCATAACTTCTCTGGGTCTTAAATGTTAACAATAACCACGCATTTAACAACGACCACAGTCTTCATGTTAGGAGTTACTCACAGTGACACCGTCGTGTTGGGTAAAGAGCCGGGCTGCATGGTTTCCGTCAGGTCCGCATCATCACACACAACCTTCACGAGCACGCTCTGCCTATTAAACTCCTTTGATCTCTCCGCGGCGCAGTGACAGCTGTCAATCATCAGCTCGGGACAGCCTCTGCTGCTCCATGCGCCCGCGAGCGCCGCGCACAGCACGAGCAGCGCTTCCATCGCGATCCGAACCGTCACGTTACTTCCAGCAAGTCTGGCATCAAATCATCGATCATCTCAGGGTAGATCGAACACAGACGCCTGGCGCTCCCTAATGATCAGTGAAGCACCTGGAAGATCTCCATGCGCCGTGCGTAAAAACAAAAGCGCAACATTCCCGATCCAAAGCCGGTTCTGCATTACACGCGGGTTTAGATGTAGGTTTGCATCCTCACTGCAAGCGCTCCTCTTTATCCTTATCATTCAAGAGTGAAGAATACTTCTGCCTCAACAGGTTGCAGTTGCTGGATGAAGTAACTTAACTTCTAGCGATGCGCGCCCTCCTCTACTACGCTAAAGGCCTGGCTTATGAATATTAATAACGCACCGTGACGTTTCCCTATAGGACGCTAGTGGACGGGAGCTATGGTGAATGGCTGATGCATGAATAAAAATTAGGCAGGACGCTCAAGAAAGGTTTCTAAGCAACGTCAGCATGCCCTCATTAATATTCATAAGCCACTCCTTCGCCATAATAGGATTTAAAACGATCCCTCCCTGCGAATAAATTTTCATTGGCACAAAATTCCACATGATATGATTATTTATCCTAAAGAGGCGATGTGGAGCCTCACACTGTATAAAGTTAGATGGTTTGTACTAACAAAAGTCTACATCTATTGATTTAGAGAACCTATCATTTGTCTTTTTATGATTTACACTCATAACCACTCATTATGTTATGGAATCATTTACATAACATAAGCACCCCAGTAAATTCTTGCTGGGCTTTGTCCCTCATGCAAATGTTATTCAACCTTTAAAATTGATATTTTCTCAGATGATAGACCTTAAATGCACTGTAAAGAAAGAAAAACAAATAATCAGTTATTTTGAATGCTGTCTTTCTGTTACTAGGTTACTGTCTGAATGGCAAGCTTTGGTCATAAAAGAGCAGCACACCTCGTCTTGAAATTGCAATGAAATGTTTTACCTTTTTTTCCATGTGCATAAGTGATCTTTCTTTATCCCCTGGCAACCGTTCAGATAGCAAAAGGAGTTGAGCAGGACGAGTCAATCTGGAAATAAAGATCTCTCATAACACTGACTGAAGTCTCAATCTCATTACATCCAGTTTACACAGTTAACACTTGAAAAAGTGAGGGGTTTGGGGGGGAAACACCATGCAGGCATGAATAGTTCTTAAATATGCTTATATGTTTTTTACTTGTCGCTCACGGCTTCAAGTTCAAATAAAAATGTAATTTCTGTCATCATTTATTCTCCCTCATGTCCGTACAATACCATGATTTTTCTTCTTCTGTGAAACATGAAAGATATTTTAATCCATCTTCACACAGCTCTTTTCCATGCAACAACAGTACAGGGTGATAACGTCTGTCCCAAAAAGGACAAAACACGGATGATTGTGCATATTCAAATTTGGTGCATAGCATGCAGTTATGATGAAAATAAATGATGGCATCAGTGAGAAATGTTTGTGTATGAGGTGAATGTGAACGAGGTTTGAGAGCTTTGACTTCAATCTGTTTTTCACCAAAGCATCCAAAACTCTAGAAGACTTGAAATATGGCTCACTAACTTTATGAAGTATTTTTGTCCTTTCTGAAGCATACAGAGAAACAAAATCTCCATAGGTCTTTCACTTGGAAAAAAAACAAAAAAAAACAGAGTATGTTTGGAAAGGCCTGATAGTGAGAAAATAGTGACAGATTTATGGTTTCACTGTTCCTTTTTAAGGAATAGTTCACCCAGAAATGAAAATGTTCTCACCCTCAGGCCATCCGAGATTTGGAGAAATGTAGCATTGCATCACTTGCTCTGCAGTGAATGGGTGCCGTCAGAATGAGCGCTGATAAAAACATCACAATAATCCACAAGTAACCCACAGCACTCCAGTCCATCAGTTAACATCTGGAGAAGACAAAAGCTGAAACACATCCAGCATTAAGACGTTTTTAATTAAAATTGTAACGCTTCCTCCAGTGAAAAGGTGCATCTGCTGTTGTCTCTCACATCAAAATAAACCCACATATGTGTTTAGAGCTGTTTAAACGCTGCTTGATCTGTGCAGATTTCTCTCCTGATTCACACCAGAACACTGACTCACTGGAGGAAGAGTTATTATGGATTATGGACTCATATTTGAGTTAAAAACGTCTTAATGCTGGATTTGTTTCAGCTTTTGTCTTCTCCAGATGTTCACTGATGGACTGGAGTGCTGTGGATTATTGTGGTTTTTATCAGCTGTTTGGACTCTCATTCTGACGGCACCCATTCACTGCAGAGCATCCATTGCTGAGACACTGATGCAGTGCAACATTTCTCCAAATCTGATGAAGAATTCTACATCTCGGATGAACTGAGAGGGAGGATATTTTCATTTCTGGGTGAGCTATTCCTTTAAGGGTGTTGAATTTGTGTATATATATATATATATATATATATATATATACAGTATAACAACAGAAGCATGGTGCAGCTGCTTCTGCTCTTATAGAGAGCTGAGAGCGAGACAAACTTCCCCTCAAGCGAGCCACACTGAATGGACTCTCATTATTTACACTGAAGGAGACCGAGAGCGTGAGCGACAGACCAGCCCAGAGTTTCCTATATTTCACTGCATGACAGCCAAACATGAGTCAGCTCTTTTCCCCTCAACCGCTGACAATTTCTCATTATCTCTCCCTTTTTCTTCCTCTGGATCTCTGGGGAAAGGCAAGAAATAAAAAACACTGTTGGGTCTTGCGTTCCTTTCAGGTTGCTGCCTGGAGAATAAAAAGCAGGCGCGCAAATGCAGTCCGTCTCTCCTGTAATGAGAAGCAGAAACCTTCAGCAGCCTCTTGATACTGAGTAAATATTTTCTCAGTGGTAAAGAAAGAGCGTTCAGGCCTCCCTAAACACCAGAGCGATTAATAAACGGATGGAGAATTACAGACTGCAAGTCGGTGTCTCAGATCAAACACATGTGGAGACTCTCATCTGAGAAGCTGAAGCAGAAACTGTGAACTCATGAAAGCTATTCAATAAGATCATGAACGCTTACCTGCATCTACACTGTAAAAAATTACCGTGAATTTAACAGTAACAGACTGTAAAAATGCTACAGTAAAAACCTGTTAAATGGTTAACAGTAAATTCCCCTACTATATACAGTGAAAAACGACATTGGACATTACATGTAATTTTACGGTAGTACCGTTTCTGGAAGTGAAAGAGACTTTGATGTTTTTTTGTTGAAATAACTGTTTCTTCTTAGTTTTTTCTTATCAGTTTTGTATGTTAGGGTTGTGCGTTACACCTAATGTTGTTAAATTAATGTTTATTGCATTATTTCAGTTTCATGTGTGTTACCGTGATGGGGTTTAGTGTTTGTGTGAATGACGCTGTGCAGCTTCTATATATGTTATCATCTAAAAGCTGCTTGTGATAGGCTTCGGTTCATCGTGTGACTTTCTCATCACCTCCTGCATTTGGTGGTTATCAGTGTATTACAAAGCTACAAAACAGATTTCAGTACTTCAATAGGTTGGTATATTAACATTATATCAGTTAATGAAATTACGGTATTTAACTGTAAATTTAAGTTAAAACTGTAAAACCTAAAACGTCGCTACTGTATTTTTTACTGTAAAATTCCGGCAACCACAGCTGCCGTTTTTAAAAAAAAATGTTACACTGCAGGGTCAAATTTAACCCTCCTCAAAAAGCAAATTTGACTAAAAACTGGCATATCTTGATCTGTAACCAGTCAACCAGTACATTTACACATGTGTACAATGATATCTGCACTGTATATATACATGAATACATACACAAATTATTCCTCTACATAATGCATATATTTACATATTAAATTAATAAAATATACTATTAAATCATAATACATAATGTACAATACATGATTAATCGGCACCGATTTTGCAGTTATTAACACTGTACAAATAGCCTATGGTGTTTGGCACAAATTTTTATAGTTTCTACATGTTTTTTTTATTATTACAAAGTCCATAGTTTATTATTACTTATTATTTATTTTTAAAACCATATAACTGTGGTAATGAGGACCATGGTTTTACTTGTTGTGACCACCATCTCTAACTAATACTAGTTAAACTCTGGATTCTGTGAGAACTATATTAAATTTCATTACAAGGCAAAGGATCATTTAACAGAATAGCTTCAACAGCATATTTCTCTTTACATGTTAAGTCTAATTAATTTGAATTCAAGTAAGCCGTTAATAAGAGCCCGGATGAAGATAAATAGCAGTGTCTTATATAAATGAGGTGTTTACTATTTACAAATATTAAAGTTCTTAAAGGGACAGTTCACCCAAAAATGAACATTGTTATCGTTTACTCAACATCATGTCATTCCAAACCTGTATGAGTTCTTTCTTCTGTGGAACGAAAATGAAGATAATTTGAGAAATTCTAGAAACTTTTATCCATACAGTATAGAAATCAAGGGTTTACTCCAGTTTATGGCCCTATAACCCAGCAAAACATGATGGGCTGAACCATATTTTAATTTGATTAGATAATCATCAAGTGTTAGCATGAATAAGCATGACTGTTGATATGAAATAGTAACGCTTTATATGAAGAGTCCATTTGTAACATAAGGTTAATATATGCTGTAGAAGTATTGTTCACTTTTAAAGTGTGTTCATTTCAACTCTTAATAGTACATTTTCAAGTTTTAAAATTAACATGAATGCACTATGAACTAACATAATTAATAATAATATTCATATTTTTATTCCATTCAAAAAGTGTGGTTCATTTTCATGGTTCAGATATTTTTTCAGCACTATTTTAGTTTTTGTTCATTATCAATTAAAAAAAATATCGGTTGATTAATCGGTTATCGGCACCGATTATTTAATAATAAATATATTATTAAATAATAGTACATAATTGATGTTTTAAATACATAAAATAGTATATTAAATAAGTAATGAAATATATACTAACATATATATGTGTGTGTGTGTGAGAGAGAGATATATAATATCATACAAATTATATTTTATACATCTATATATTATATAACATAAAACTACATTATTAAATACTGCATAATGATCTATTTAATAAATAGTATATTACATAATTAAATATAAATGTATATTACAAACTACATTATTATTATTATATTAATAATACACACATATGTTTCTTATTTTAAAACAATGATTGTGGATTTATAGTCTTATGAGTTCTGAAGGAAAATGAGAAGAAAAGTTAAGATTGTCTTTGTTAAACACCTATCATATGCATATTACTGGATGAGGGGAAAAACTACCTGTGCTAATTACAAACCCTCGTTATGATGTAATTAGGAAGCATTTAAAGCGAACGGAAAGGTAAACTGCTGTGTCCCGTGTCAAGATAATTTCACAATCAACAAATGAGCTCACAATGAAAAACCAAAGCAGATAAAAGCAGGACAAATAAAGAAAGCCGGAGTGTTTTCACTCGTTGAAGGCTGTAAATGTCACGGTGAGGATGTGGTTCT